TAGTTCGAATTTGTTAGTAGTGAGAATTACAAATGTGCCATGATATTAGATTGGTCAAAGCATTTGACGAGTTGATCTTAAATTTGTGTTTGTGGAATGCAAGATTGGCATTACGATAATGTTTTATGTAGACTGGATTAAAATGTTGTATGGAAATTGTGGGATGTAAGTTTTTGGTTAATGGCATACAAAGTAAGTCATTCAGGATTGAAAGATCAGTAAGACAAGGATGTCCTCTTTCTCTTTCTCTATATATTTTTCCAAGGACCTTTTTTATTTATCAGTAAGCATCAATGCCAGAATAATTCCCCACAGTTACCAAACAACATAAAATGCCCATACTGGTATACGCTGATGATTCTACAGTCTTTGTTGTCACAGTCCATAGTTGAGGTTATGAGAAATGGAAAGGTTTGAAGAAGCAACAGGTGCTATATTAAACAAATATAAAACAAGTATTATGGGCTTGGGTGGTGGAGAAAGAGATTTATAGCCTGTGCTGTGGATGAGATCAGCAGAATATTCAGAACTTTAGATACTATATACCGGTATTATGCTGAAGATTACAGCGAACACGCTGCTAATATGAATTGGAACAAATCTTGGAAAATATCAGCATTACTGTAAGATTATTTATCAAACAGAAGATTATCCTTGTACCAAAAGCAATTATTGTGAACTCAAAAGTTTGGTCAAGGTATGGTACCTATCATACATTTCCATTAAACTGAGGCTCTCTTTCAAGGAAGAATGATCATGTATTTTTAAATACATATGGAGTGGTATGTACCAGCAATTAAAAAGACAAACTTTGTATTTTTCCTGTCAAACAAGGTGGTATTGGTGTAGTTAATATGTTTTACAGCAAAATAGCTGCTTTGTATACTTACGACTTTCAGGTGGCTTCACACACACACCATGAAGGGAAATCTTTAACTCCCGCCATTATACAAATGCAGGACCAGCTATCTCTGTAAAAAGTAGAGCCTACGGATAATAATGTTTCCTACTTGTTGTCTCAACCCTAATTAAAGAGTATTGCAATCAATACCCTACGAAGGTTAGCAAGGCATCATAACTTTCCCAATGTCAAGAATAAAGATGTATATACAATATGTTAATGATATGGACAAAACCTGCAGTTGAAGAAAAATCACATGTTTAAATGGCCTTTTATTGGGAAAATATTACTTGTAAATGGATCCTCACCAGAGGCTTCATATACTATGATAGTTGTGTAAGATGTGGTGGTGAATATCCATTACATGTGTTTACTTATTTCCATAACAAAAGAAAATTAAATGGTTTTAAATCTCCTGAATACGATCTGCAATATCAATATGAAGTGTTCTGCATTTCTTAATGTTTAATATTAACTGTAGCAATAATAAGGATAAGAATACAGTAGTCATACTTTGATATCAGTTATGCTACACTTATGTGATTTAGAAATAGGAAAAGAAAATTATATTATTAAAGGAACTATCGCCTTTATTAAAAACTTGGGATATATTATAATAAATGGATGATCAGGTACATTTAAAAAGTCATCCAATATTTCCTTACAATTATGTTAATAATAGCAATATTATGTATACTAGTATATATATGGTGTAAAGTTTTATAAATAATAAAAATAAGTGAGTAGATGTACCTATATTAACCAACTAACTGAATATTAAGTTTCTTGTATACTTGTCTGCACCAATGGTTTTAGAACTTTTCATTGTCCAGAATAACCGAACCCTTCTCAAGGGAACACATTTTAGACTTAATGAAGAATGATTTGGCTTGAAAAGATAAACACAATATGAAGGTAATGTTAAGGTTGTTTGTCCTTGTTGATCATTTTAAGATATACATTTATGAATCAACAGCCACCAAATACCCTGCCAACCTGGGAAGTGTTTCAACAACGATCTACCTGTCTGTGCCAAACAGCCTGGTGGTGTCAGCTTAGATGTATATGCAGGTAGCTGTGAGAGAAATGTGTGAGGCAGGGCAGTTGAGTGCCCCAGGGGAAGTTAACATCCTGCCTGTAGCTATTATCTTGGGTTTGGACCATCTGGAAACACGCTGAGGAACCCCAAGAGTGGTAAGTCAAATGAGAACATGAAGTTATTGACCCAGGATATGCTTGTAGTTTTCAGTAGGATGATCATTTGTGGACTCTTAACAATGGGTGTAGGAAAAAAGATGAAGATGGTTGTTGCTAGTCTGAAAATAATATTGTAGTGCTGGTGAAGCAGTTGGCATTTTTCAGTTGTTGTTGCTGAACAATTAAGTTGGGGGAACTGGGAGGCCCCATGTATAAAGCTGGAGTGAAATAATATGATTATAGGAGTCTCTTAACTGCATTTAAATTGAACAACACAGTTGTGTAGTATAAAAGGAACTGCCCTAGAGAAACTAGCCTTCTTGGGAGTGTCATGTGATCCCAAGAATGACCTCAGAGATGACTCTCTTGTATGATAGGATAGTAGACAGAGTTTGGGAAAGACTCCTTTTCTAAAAACTTTCTCAAAACTTATTCAAAGGTGAAAGTGCATCATTGACGGATGTTGAAGGCATGGTGAAATAATGAATTAGACTAAAATGTGACTATTTTGCTGAGGTTGATATAATAGTTGTTTTCATAATGGGCGTTTAGTTGCTCGATCTTGTGGAAAACAAGCACAGGGGTGTAGATGGGGCATGGGAGGAGGAGCATGAAATGAAGCATAGGGGAGGAGGAGCATGGGGAGACGGAGCATGGGAGGAAGAGGAGGAGCATAGGGCAGAAAGCACAGGGGTAGATGGAGCATAAGGAGGGAGGAAGGCAGAAGCACAAGGGAAGACACATGGAAAGGAGTCAGAGACTGGGGAGGAATAGGAACACGGGAGGAGGAGGAGCTGGGAGGAGGAGGAGCACGGGAGTGGGAGGGAGCACGGGAGGAGGAACACGTGGAAAGGAGGAACAGGAGCACAGGGAGGAGGAGGAACACGGGAGGAGGGACAGGCACAGGGGAGGAGGAGGGAGAACACGGGAGAGAAAGACGAGCCTGAGGGAGGAGCTACACAACCCTTCAGCGCACAGTGGGGAGTGGGCCTGAAGTATAAGACTAACCGTTCGAAATTTCTGTGATCCTCACGTGATACGATGGTTAAGTGTTTTACCTGCCACTCTTCGAGGCCCAAGTTCGATTCAGCCTTCTCTTTTTATTGTTTTTTTCTTTATAGGACGCTCTTTTTTTTTTTTTTTTTTTCCTTTGTGTTATAGCCTAAAAGTTAATCAAAGTGAGGTGGATTACAAATTTGACGTTTATACGTATTTTAACGTATATTAGTTTTCAGCTTCGATAGCTTCAATGAAGCATCAAAAATGATTCAATGAAGCTTCGTAACGTCACTCTGAACCTTCATATAAAATGTCTGGACTCGTATTCGGCCCATTCTTCTCGACTTCTCCCCCACTCATTGAGTTGCAGCTGACAGGCAGATAGGACCCGCCTCTAGTCTCCTAGCGTGTGTATACAAAGTGGCCAAAAATAGTTCTTCTCTTGGGTAGTGTAACATAGTTAATTAGTGCAAAATAAATGTTGATTTTAAGTATAAAAAGTTGCCGGCCGGTTGTTGGGTGATTCACTTACCTCATGGGTCATGCCCCAAGTTTCTGCTGGGGCTGTAAACTACATGATTTTCACTGCAGCTTCGCTATTACATTAATATGGTTTGCGTATTATATTTAAGTCTTTCTTTAACTGGCCAGTAATTATTTAATATTTGGTGTCTCCCAAATAAAGCCGCGTGTAAAGCGAGCTAAACTGTGGAAGCCAGTCGGCAGACAACGAGCATAAACCGTACATCAGTAATTATGTTATAATTATAGTAGTACAATGACCAAGTTAGGTTAAATTACTATAATATTTTAATGCACATTTTCCCTCTGCTTTGACTGTCACTTTTGACTGAGCCGGGTGGTCAGACTCATAGTGAATTCTTCACAAAACTATTCGCTCTGGCATTACAATTCCCCCATTGCCTCGTGGTCTGGGTCCAGCGCCGCCACTACCACAGGCAGGTCCTTCTTATGCCACGCCTACCCCACTATTTAAGACCTGACCTCGTGGTGATCTGCCTCTCTCTCACCTACACCAACCAGCCAACACCTCCCTGCCTGCTTGGTCCTCCTCTCCCGCTGGCGGTCCTCTCTCCCCTGCTAGCGAGCATGGCGACCTAGCTGTCCTTCTCTGCGTCCTCACCAACCAGCTCTCTCTACATCACTTGTATTGTGCCTTCCCAGCACAAGCTGTGTACATCAATACAACATGTATATATAGAGAGCACATTGTGTTTCCTTTCTCCATCCCATCCTGAGTGTGAACCAAACAATCTCCTTACACTGTATTCGCATTTCCCCAAACGTTCATCACCACCAATGTATTCATCATTAAAACACCTTCCTCGTAGGCTCGGTTTATGTAAAATATAACGATTTTTGCGTTATATTTTTACTTGTTAGTTTGTTATAAACTACGATTTCTGGGAGTTAAGTAAGTAGTTTGTTGTGGGTGGGGCGGTGGGGGCCAGGTGGTCCAGGAGGAATGAGGGGCAGGCGGGGCTGGGAGGGAGGTGAGGCCAGCCAGGCAGAGCCGGCGGGGGCGGGGCAGGCGGGGTGGAGTGAGGGGAGCTAAGGAGGCCAGTGAGGCGGGCCAGGCTGGTGAGGCCAAACCTGGGCAGGCGGGCGGGCGGAGGTGGTGAGGCCAGCCGAGCCGGAGCCGGGTGGGTGGGTGGGTGAGGAGCATGGCAGGCTAGTGAGGTGGGAGGCAGTGGGGGAGCGGGGGGGGCAGGGGCAGGCAGTGAGGCCGGGCGGTTGGGTGAAGGGCAGGGGCAGGGGTGGGGCAGGGCAGGTGCAGGAGCTGGCAGCAGCTGGGCGGGCCAGGACGGGCGGACAGGCGGGCCGGCAGTGGGGAGCCGGGTGGGGGGACGGATGAAAGAGCCAGGTGTGGGCAGGTGGCGGATCAGGCGAGACAGCCGGGCAGGTCGGGTGAGAAGCCGAGCGAGGGCGAGGCAAACCAGGTGGAGCAGGCCGGGCGGGCAGGCAGGCCGAGCCGAGCCGGGAGGCGGGGCGGGGCAGAGGCGGGAAGGCCGGGCAGGGGCAGAGCCGGGCGAGAGCCGGGCAGACGGAGCCGGGCGGCCAGGCGGAAAGCAGGGCCAGGCCGGGCCAGGTTGGGCCGGGCAGGGAAAAGCCGGGCAGGTGGGCGGGGCGGCAGAGCCAGCCGAGCCGAGCCAGGCAGGCACTGTGAGCGGGCGGGCGAGGCGGGCGGGCGGGCAAGAGCGCGGGGCTGAGCCGGGTTGGGCAGAGCCAGGTCAGGCCAGGCCGGGCCGGAACAAGCCGGGCCGGGCGACAGAGCCGGGCCGGAGCTGAGCCGAGCCGGGCCGGGCGGGCGTCGGGCGGGCGGGCGGGCGGGCGGGCGGGCAAGAGAGCCGGGCGGGCCGGGCCCGAGCGGAGCCGGGCCAGGCCGGGCCGGGCCGGGCGAAAGAGGTGGGAGGAGAGCCGGCCTGTGGGTGAGAGATTCACCCCCTTATTTCTGTGGGTCAATTTAACCTTAACCATCTCGTGTTACAATGGCTCTGGTGAATCATTATTTCTTTTTCCAGATCAAGGGATGACTACAGATCAACTACAGTATAAAATGCTGTTATTGGTGTGGTGCAGTATGTGGCCATCAGTGTGGTGCAGTATGTGGCCATCAGTGTGGTGCAGTGTGTGGCTATCAGTGTGGTGCACTATGTGGCCATCAGTGTGGTGAAGTATGTGCCCATCAGTGTGGTTGCGGATGATGGCCATCAGTGTGGTGCAGTATGTGGCCATCAGTGTGGTGCGGTATGTGGCCATCAGTGTGGTGCGGTACGTATGTGATCCATCAGTGTGGTGCAGTGCGTATGTGGCCATCGGTGTGGTGCAGTATGTGGCATCAGTGTGGTGCAGTATTAGCCATCATTGTGGTGCAGTATGTAGCCCATCATTGTGGTGCAGTATGTGGCCATCGGTGTGGTAGTAATACGGCCATCATTGTAGTGCAGTATGTGGCCATCGGTGTGGTGCAATATATGTGTGTGTGTGTGGTGCAGAGTGTGTGTGTGGTGCAAAGTGCGTTGTGTGTGTGTGTGTGTGTGTGTGTGTGTGTGGTGCAGAGTGCGCGCGTGTGTGGTGTGTGTGTGTGTGTGTGTGTGTGTGTGTGTGTGTGGGGGGGGGTGTGTGTGTGTGTGGGGGGGTGCAGGTGTGTGTGTGTGTGTGTGGTGTGGTGTGTGTGTGTGTGTGTGTGGTGCAGTGTGTGTGTGGTGCAGTGTGTGTGTGTGTGTGTGTGTGTGTGTGTGTGGAGTGTGTGTGTGTGTGTGTGTGTGTTGAGTGTGTGTGTGTGTGTGTGGTGCAGGTGTGTGTGTGTGTGTGTGTGTGTGTGTGTGTGTGTGTGTGTGTGGTGCAGAGTGTGTGTGTGTGTGGTGCAGGTGTGTGTGTGTGTGTGTGTGGGGTGAGTGTGTGTGGTGCAGAGTGTATGTGTGTTTGAGTGTGGTGCAGAGTGTGTGTGTGTTTTGTGTGGTGCAGAGTGTGTGTGTTGTGTGTGGTGAGAGTGTATGTGTGTGTGTGTGTGGTGGTGTGTGTGTGTGTGTGTGTGTGTGTGTGTGTGTGTGTGTGTGTGTGGTGCAGGTGTGTGTGTGTGTGGTGCAGAGTGTGTGTGGTGCAGGTGTGGTGTGGTGCAGGTGTGTGTGGTGCAGAGTGTGTGTGTGTGTGTGTGTGGTGCAGAGTGTGTGTGTTGTGTGTGGTGCAGGGTGTGTGTTTGTGTGTGGTGCAGTGTGTGTGTTTGTGTGTGGTGCAGAGTGTATGTGTGTGTGTGTGTGGTGCAGAGTGTGTGTGTGTGTGGTGCAGGTGTGTGTGTGGTGCAGGTGTGTGTGTTTGTGTGTGTGGTGCAGGTGTGTGTGTTTGTGTGTGGGTGCAAGTGTGTGTGTTTGTGTGTGGTGCTGGAGTGTGTGTGTGTGTTGTGTGTGAGGTGTGTGGTGAGAGTGTGTGTGTGTGTGTGTGTGTGGTGTAGTGTGTGTGTGTGTGTGTGGTGCAGTGTGTGTGGTGCAAAGTGTGTGTGTGTGTTTGTGTGTGGTGCAGAGTGTGTGTGTTGTGTGTGGTGCAGAGTGTGTGTGTTTGTTGCCGCTGCCTACTAAAACCAGGAGCGCCTTCCAGGCACGTCCTGTCTCACTGAGGTTGACAAGTGTGTGTGTGTGTGTGTGTGTGTGAGGTAGTACAGGTGTGTGTGTGAGTTAGTACAGGTGTGTGTGTGTGAGGTAGTACTCGTGTATGTGAGTAGGACAGGTATGTGTGTGTGGTGGTAAGGGTGTGTGTGTGTGTGTGAGGTGGTACAGGTGTGCGTGTGTGAGGTGAGGTACAGGTGTGTGTGTGTGAGGTTGTTGGTGTTGAGGTAGTACTGGGTGTGTGTGTGTGTGTGTGAGGTATGACTGTGTGTGTGTGTAGGTAGTACAATTATCTGTGAGGTATTACAGATGTGTGTGTGTGAGGTAGTACAGGTGTGTGTGTGAGGTGAGTACTGGTGTGTGTGTGTGTGTGTGTGTGTGTGAGGTAGTACAGGTGTATGTGTGAGGTAGTACAGTTGTGTGTGTGTGGAGTAGTACTCATGTGTGTGTGTGAGTAGTACAGGTGTGTGAGGTTGTGCTGGTATGTGTGTGTGTGAGGTAGTACTGTTGTGTGTGTGTGTGTGAGGTGGTACAGGTGGGTGTGTGAGGTAGTACAGGTGTGTGTGGTGGTACATGTGTGTGTGAGGTGGTAGGGTGTGTGTGTGTGTGTGAGGTGGTACAGGTGTGTGTGTGCAGGTGAGTACTGGTGTGTGTGTGAGGTAGTACTGGTGTGTGTGTGAGGTGGTACTGGTGTGTGTGTGTGAGGGTAGTACAGGTGTGTGTGTGTGTGTGTGAGGTGGTACAGGTGCGTGTGAGGTAGTACTGGTGTTTGTGTGTGTGTGTGTGAGTACAGGGGTGTGTGATGTGAGTACAGGTGTGTGTGTGTGGGGTGGTGCAGGTGTGTGTGTGTGTGGGGTGGTGCTGGTGGGTGTGTGTGGGGTGGTACAGGTGTGTGTGTCTGAGGTGGTGCAATTGTGTGTGTGTGTGTGTGTGTGTGGGTGGTACAGTGTGTGGGTGTGTGGTGGAGGTACAGGCGTGTGTTCAGGTGAGTACAGATGTGTGTGTTTGTGTGTGTGAGGTGTGCTGGTGGGTGGTGGGGTGGTACAGGTGGGTGTGTGTGAGGTTGTGTTGGTTGTGTGTGGGGTGGTACAATTGTGTGTGTGTGTGTGTTTAGATGGTGCAGTTGTGGGTGTGTGGTGGTACAGGCGTGTGTGTGTCAGGTGTACAGATGTGTGTTTGTGTGTGTGTGGGGTGAGTACAGTTGTGTGTGTGTGGTGGTGCAGGTGTATGTGTGGTGGTACAGTTGTGTGTGTGAAGTGGCTCATGTGTGTGTGAGAGGGCAGGGTGTGTGTGTGGGGTTGTGCTGGTATATGTGTGTGTGTGTGAGTGGAGTGCTGGTGTGTGTGTGTGAGGTGGTACAGATGGGTGTGGCATGTGTGTGTGGTGGTGAGGGTGTTTGTGTGGTGTGAGTTGGTGCAGGTTGGTGTGTGCAGGTGGGTGCAGGTTGTGTGGTGCTGGTGTGTGTGAGGTGGTGCTGGTGTGTGTGTGGGGTGGTGCAGGTGTGTGTGTGAGGATGGAGTGCAGGTGTGTGGTGGTGCTGGTTTGTGTGTGTGTGTTGGGTGGTGCAGGTGGGTGTGTGTGGTGCAGGTGTGTGTGGTGCAGGTGTGTGGGTGGTGCTGGTGGGGTTGGGGTGGTGCAGGTGTGTGTGTCTGGGGTGGGGTGCAGTTGTGTGTTGTGTGTGGTGCGGTTGTGGGTGTGTGAGGTGAGTACAGGCGTGTGTGTGTCAGGTGGTGGATGTGTGTTTGTGTGTGTGGGGTGGTGGGTGTGTGTGAGGGTGGTGCAGTTGAGTGTGTGTGGGGTGAGGTAGTTGTGTGTGGGGTGGTACAGTTGTGTGTGTGTGTGTGTGTGTTTGAATTGGTACAGTTGTGGGTGTGTGGGTGGTGCAGGGCGTGTGTGTGTCAGGTAGTACAGATGTGTGTTTGTGTGTGTGTGTGGTGGTACAGTTGTGTGTGTGTGTGGGGTGGGTACAGGTGTGTGTGAGATGGAGTACAGTTGTGTGTGTGTGGAGTGAGTACTCATGTGTGTGTCAGGTGGTACAGGTGTGTGTGTGGGGTTGTGCTGGGTATGTGTGTGTGTGTGAGGTGAGGTGCTGGTGTGTGTGTGTTGGGTGGTGCAGATGTGTGTGAGGTGGTACAGGTGTGTGTGAGGTGGTACATGTGTGTGTGTGGGGTGTGTTTGTGTGTGTGTGAGGTGGTGCAGTTGTGTGTGTGCAAGGTGGTGCAGGTTGTGTGTGGGGTGGTGCTGGTTGTTGGTGTGGTGGTGCTGGTGTGTGTGTGGGGGTGGTGCAGGTGTGTGTGTGGGGTGGTGCAGGTGTGTGTGTGTGTGTGGGGTGGTGCTGGTGTTTGTGTGTGTGTTGGGTGGTACAGATTGGGTGTGTGGTGGTGCAGGTGTGTGTGGGGTGGTACAGGTGGTGTGTGTGTGTGGGGTGGTGCTGGTGGGTGTGGTGGGGTGGTACAGGTGTGTGTGTGAGTGGTGATGGTGTGGTGTGGTGGTGGTGTGTGTGTGTGTGTGTGTGTGAGGTGTGCAGTTGTGGGTGTGAGTGTACAGGCGTGTGTGTGTCAGGTGAGTACAGATGTGTGTTTGTGTGTGTGTGAGTTGTGCAGGGCGTGTGTGTGTGTGGTGGTGGATGTGTGTGTGTGTGTGGGTGTGGGGTTGGTGCAGGTGTGTGTGTGGGGTCGTGCAGGTGTGGTGTGTGTGGGGTGAGTGCTGGTGTGTGTGAGGTGGGACAGGTGTGTGTGTGTGTGGGGTGTGGGGTGTGTGTGTGTGTGTGTGTGTGGGGTGGTAGCAGGTGTGTGTGTGGGGTAGGTACAGGTGTGTGTGTGAGGTGGTACTGGTGTGTGTGAGGTGGTGCTGGTGTGTGTGTGTGAGGTGGTACAGGTTGTGTGTGTGCAGGTGCGTGTGAAGACTGGTGCTGGTGTGTGGTGGGTGGAGTGCAGTGTTGGTGTGGTGGTGCAGGTGGTGTGTTGGGGTGGTGCAGGTGTGGTGTGGTGGTGCTGGGGTGTGGTGCAGTTGGTGTGTGTGGGGTGTGGTGCAGTTGTTGTGTGTGTGTGTGTGTGTGGTGGTGCAGTTGGGTTGTGTTGGGGTGGAGTGCAGGCGTGTTGTGTGGGTGTGGATGTGTGTTGTTGTGTGTGGGGTGGTGCTGGTGGGTGTGTGTGGGGTGGTGCAGGTGGGGGTGTGTGTGGAGTGGTATTGGTGTGTGTGTGGGGTGGTACAGTGTGTGTGTGTGTGTGTTGGTATTACAGTTGTGTGTGTGTGAGGGTGAGGCCTGGGCGTGTGTGTGTCAGGTGGTACAGATGTGTGTTTGTGTGTGTGGGGTGGTACAGTTGTGTGTGTGTGTGAGTGGTACAGGTGTGTGTGTGAGATTGGTACAGTTTTTGTGGAGTGTTGTGTTATTATTGGGAGTACAGGTGTGTGTGGTTGTGCTGGTATGTGTGTATGTGTGTGGTGAGTACTGTGTGTGTGTGTGTGAGTGGTACAGGTGGGTGTGTGGGAATTGGTACATGTGTGTGTGTGGTGTGGGGTGTGTTTGTGTGTGTGTGGGGTGGTACAGGGTGTGTGTGTGGGTGGTGCAGGTGGTGAGGTGGTGCTGATTGGTGTGTGTGGGGTGGTGCTGGTGTGTGTGTGAGATGGTGTGTGTGTGAGGATGGTGCAGGTGTGTGTTGGTGGTGCTGGTGTTTGTGTGTGTGTGTTGGGTGGTGCAGGTTGTGTTGGTGT